GACACTGGATGCCAGGCTGCAGTGCAGTCAAGGGGATGAACAGCTAAGCGGCCCCGTTCTGCACAGCCAGTCTCTCAGACTGTGAGCCAGAGTAAGCGTCTTTTCTTTGTAATTAGCCTGCACCAGGCATTTTGTTACAACAGAAAACTAAGGCGGCCATGTTTTTCAGGAACCAATGGAGATGAAGGGCGTGCGTTCTTGCAGAGGTGGTGGTAAGGTGGCCGTCTGGATGAGCGGGGTGACCTTTCAGAGAGGTGACCCCACTCGAATGGGGTCTGGGAGGAGGTGGGTGGTGAAGATGGGCAGGGGAGGTGAAGTTCTTAGTAGGACATTTCTGTTGGGATGGGGAAGCAGATTGTGAGTTATTCTGCATAACAACTATACCGGCCACACACACACACACACACACATAGACTGCCCTCACAGACACGGACACACACACACGCACACACACAGACACATGCACTCCTGTACATGCTTGGACTCCAATGCCTATCACCTGTAGAGTGTCCCCTTATTTTTGAACATAGAGCCAGCAACACAGGACACCTCATATTCCTCCCAGCGGGTGAGTGAGAGGGTCTTGTCCTGAGCTAGGTGGGCTTGAGAATCGCACTGGCTCGCTGGGAAGACTGAGGGTTAGCTGGAAGATCCCAGCCCCTTCCCAGCATCTGTCTTGGTACCTCACGTCCCTTCTGTGACAGAGCAGGCATATTCCAAGGCACTGGTGTGCCACCTCCTTAAGGGGGTCTGGAATAATGAGCGTTTTCCCTCCTGATGACCCCTTAGGGGGTGATGGCTCTGTCTTCTGCCACAGCTGGGTTTCCTGGTTCGTCAGTCTGTACCAAGGGGTACATGAGTACCAGATGGGTTTATTTCCATCACATTCTCAGCTGTGCTCTCTCTCTCTCTGTCTATGGGAATGGATATGTATATGATTTAGTGGAGAAACAGCTCTGTAGGCCAGCAAGCTCACAATGAGTGTGTCTCTCTTCAGTTTTCCCCCTACACCCTCATCTTTTGAACCATGCCTTGAGCTCCATCCACTGTGGTTGTTCTTGAGATGGAGGCCTCTTCTCTATTCAGAATGGTTTTGCCCACTTGGCTCTTGTTTTCCTCTACCCCTTTCCTAGCCCTATCCCTGTATGTTCCCAGTCCTCCACATTCCTGAATTCTATACAGTGTCCACGTGATCTTGTATTATATATAGCACAGTGACCACTTTCCAGGAATCCCAAAGACCACGTGTGCATTGTAATCCCACTAAGTTTTGTTTCTCCTGGAATGTTATTTGAGGACTCACCGTCACTTTTAGGAAGAGAGCATTCGTCCCCACATCTGAGGAGAGGAGCCTATACCATTTCAGGCCATCACAGGGAACCTCTGGGAGGATGGTTTCAGAGTAGCCCGGAGAATGCAGGGACACCCATGACCTAAGGCAGTGGCTCCCAAAGGATGCCTAAAACTCAGTAGTGTCATGGGTCAAAGTTCATATAAGAAAAAATTAGAAACACGCCAACTTCAATTCTGGACCACTGTGAGCCTTTAGGATGTCAGTATCTCTGAGAGCAGAGCAAGGAGCAGGTCTGGGTTCAGCCTGTCCTGGAGCTACTCTGGGAAACCTGAGGACCATTCCCATGGCCTCCACAGCACCGAGAAACACTGGCCACACACAGAAAAGCACCGTGCGTGGCTTGCACAGTGTGTGGTGGCAGCTGAACCAGATTTGACTCTGAGAGTCTTCATCGTCCCCCTGCGCTGTCACATATCCACCAGGGAGAAGTCTGGGTGTAAGATTCTGTAACCAACAGATCGCAGTGTGGGGGGGGGGGGAATACAACTTCTCTGACAAATTTTTGCAGTTTCAAGAATGGCGCAGAGTCACCAGACAGGAAAGACTTTGCAATGAAATTAGCAACCTGGGAAAGAGGTGACTTTTTAAAGAGAGGCTTTCCATATACAGATATTAACCACTGGGAGGTGTTAGCGAGAGATGTGCAAAAAGGACACTTCCTCCGTTCAGGTGGTGGCAGGTGGCATGACTGCAGGCTGCGAGGAGGGCAGCAGGTTAAGGAAAACCCGTGAGGAGGTGGGAGCTGTGGGTAGGAGCTGGGCATGCGCAGAAAGACTGCAGACGGAAACAGTGACCTAGCTCTTCCCTTTCTAGCACATTCTGAACACTGCACTGAACAGGAGTCAGAGGTCAAGGAAGAGGTAGGCGGTTCATGACCATCAGCCTCAGGGCAGAGTGCAGAGTGGTGGAGCACCAATCGCCAATCACAACGCCACCTGCCACCTGAAAAGGCCCAGACCTCTTCCTTCAGTTCTCCCATCTGGCTCCTGCACAGATGTGCTAAGCTGAAGGTCACGGCTCAAGCGCCTGTGGAGCCCAGATATGAGGAATAAGAAGCACCCCTCTAAAAGCAGGGAGTGTCGGCCTCGGAAGGATGCTCCAGCCGCAGGCATGGGGATGGATTCCTCAGAGCTTCCAACCTTGGGCGTCCACCTCTCATGAATTCAGAGTTGTTCCCTGGCAGCCATGGACCGTGCATGGTCCTCATACAGGTGCACTCATGTACTCGCGTGTGCGCGAACGTGTAGTGTCATGTAAGCACACGGATGCTCATCTGTTGAGGGTCTGACTAAGGGATGTATCTCAGGGCTCAGGACCAGCACCACAGACACACACCTGGCCTGCTAGAAAACAGCTGATTTCGATCGGAGGCCAACCTTGCCGAAAATGTGACCAGGAGATCATGTCTCTGTTATGTGACAATGTCCAGAAGGATTCAAGGGAACAGGAGACATCGGCTATGGGTTCACACAATGAAGAGCGCTACAAGCAAAACCAAAATCCTTCATCTGGTGAGAAGAGAAAGGGTAGCTAAGGGCTGGGGAGATGGCTCAGCTGGTAAAGCGCTTGCCTTGCAATCATGAGGTCCCAGGTTCAGTCCCCAGAGCCCACATAGAAATGCTGGATGTGACACCTGGGATTGGCCGAGGTGGGTGGATCCCTGGGCTCCCTGGCCGCCAGCTCAGCATACACGGTGAGCTCCAGGCCGGGAAGAGGCCCTGCCTCAAAACACAAGGCAGACACAGCCTGAGGTATTGTTCCTCTGCATCTCCCCGGGCACATGTACATAAGTGCATGCTCACTCCCCACAAACGTGTATCCTCCTTCTTACACGTGTACCCATCCACATACACACACATGAATGCACGCATACATGCACAGGAATGGCCTACCAGGCGGGGAAGAATTGTCAGCGCACCCTTATTAAAGTGGCAGTTTCAGTATGAATTCTCAAAACTGGCAATTCTCAAAACTGGCAATTCTCATGCTGGTAATGGCCATGGCAAAACGTGTTTCCTTACTTCCTTTTGGATTTTGGAAACACATCCCAAGAAAATTTTATATTCAGGTACTATTCTCCTGGCTCCCTGGAACCTATATGAAGAAGAGTGCTGTATAAGAATGAAAGCATACAGACGGTATCAAAGACAGCATTATTTTTAAGAACAGTAGTATAAAGACTTTCTTCCCCAGGCATTTGGTGTAAGGGTCGTGGTTAATCTCCATATGTGATGGGTTAAAAAAAAACCCATGTAGGTACATGGGGTTATTTTATTTTGAAGTATGTATGCATGTGTACTGTAAATTAAACTGATAAAAACGTGTGCAGGCACACTTTGTTTGTGCATGTGTGTGTAGTGCCTGCAGAGGCCAGAAGAGGGGGCCATATTACCTCTGGGACTGGAGTTCTAGGCAGCTGTGAGCTGTCTGACTTGAATGCTGGAAACCCAACTTGGGTCTTCTGCAAGAGCACTACATGCTTTTAACCACTGAGCCATCTCTCCAGCCCCTACCGCCGATCTTTTTGGATATGGAAAAAAGACCATCAAATGGCCCCTTTGATAGAGAAGTGGGTCTGTGAAATTTATAGCCACAAGTGGATAAAGGAGGAGAGAGATGGCCCCGAGAACAGCCTGTCCTGAGGCAGAGCAGAAACGCTGCTTTTCTCTCGATTATTTTTTTGTGATGCTGGAGATGAGCCTAGGCAACACATGCATGTCTTCAGCACACGCCATAGGCATGTATGTAAGCATTGCTGAAGATGAAGTCACTGTGCCCAACCCTAGGAACAGCACACCACTGCAAAACTGGGGGAGAGGAATCACCTCCCACTTATGCCTGTGACTAGAAGTTACAGAAACTGCCAGAACAAAGGCCACCAAGACCTGACATAGAAAGTGTTTCTGTGTAGGGATGTCTGTCTGTCCTGTGGCTGTCTGTCCAATGCAAACAGATCGGCCATGGTGACTTATATACTTATTCTGACATTGAGGGGAAGGATCCCAGAGTCCTGGGTGTGCTAGGCAAGCCCTGCCCCACCTGGTGACACCTGCAGCCTTACCCTTGATCTTTGCAGAGTTTGTCTTACCTAGTTCTCCTGTCTGGGCCCTATAGGCGCACAGGGAGTGGCGCTATTAGGAGGTGTGGCCTTGTTGGAGGAATGTGTGTCACTAGGGGTGGGCTTTGTGGTTTCAGATGCGCAAGCCAGGCCCAGTGTCTCGCTCTCTCTTCCTGCTGCCTGCGGATCCGGATGTAGAACTCTCAGCTACCTCTCCAGCACCATGTCTGCCTGCAGGCTGCCATGTTTCTCGCCATGATGATAATGGACTAAACCTCTGAAACATCCTTTATGAGTTGCCGTGGTCATGGTGTCTCTTCACAGCAATAGAAACCAGACTAAGACACTGTCTTTACAGCTTCCTCTTGCCACCCATCTTTGAACACACTCTGAAGTTGCTGCCCATCACAGTGTCTACCTGCCAGTACACTTACTGTCTTGGAGAGTCTCTCCATTTGTTACTTGATTTAACACATAGCTATATGAGAAATGGATATCAAGGATGCAAACAGGTTTGAACCCCTACCCTTTCTCTCCAGGGCAGCCCCCAGCATGCATTAGACTGGCCTGTGGCCTCCCCGTGGTTACCTAGCAGTGCGCCTGTGGGCAGCGGGGCTGAAGGCTCCTTCATCCAGTCGTCGTTGGCCAGCTCTATCACGGCGTCCACGGGCCTCAACTCAGTGCAGATCAGTTCCTGCACAGTGTCCTTGTCCCCAGTGGCCAGGGCAGACTTCAGTCTCCTCACTAAGTCCGAGCTGAGGGGGTAATCTGGTGGCGAGTCCCAGCTGGACATTGTGGTGTCCCTGTGTGGTGGCCGGCCTTCTTCTCTGCTTCTAATGCATGTCTAAAGTTAGTCCTGTTCCCCAGAGCAGAGTGGGTGGCTATAAATAGAACCAGGGCTGGGTTACTGTCAGCAGGGAGGGCCCAAGCTGCTTCCATCTTGCCTGCAAGCCTGAGGAGTCCTCTTCCTGTGGCCCTTGTGCAGGCTGCTGGAGAGATAGGCAGTGGAGAAGAAAATCTCTTTAGAGGGAAACTCTGAAGGTGACTTTGTTTGCTGGAGAGGATTGAGTCAGTTCCCTTTCTCATTGCTGTGACCAAGTCCCCGTCAGGGAGCAACGCAAAGGAGAGCTAATTTTGGCTCACAGTTGGAGGGACTACAGTCCATTACCACAGGAAAGGCACGGTGACCCCGGTGACGGGGGTGTGAGGCAGCTGGTCACATCACTTCCCCAGCCATGAAGCACTGAGCAGACAGGAAGTGGGGTTATGCTAAAAGACCTCGAGGCCAGCCCCCTTGACTCACTTCCTCCAGTGAGGCTCCACAATCTCTTAAAGAAGCACCGCCAACTGGGGTCCAAGTGTTAAAACACGTGAGCCTCTGGGGAGACATTTTTCACTGAAACCACCGGGCTGTGTAGCTTGAGCTGGACTTGAACCAGCCATCCTCCTGCCTCAGCCTCCGGAGTGCAGGGATGACCGTTTCCTTTCTCAAAACTGAGGCTACAGAAATCTACCTGACCCGGTCTTGGGCCTTCTGCTGTGCTGATATTCTTTCTCACTTACTTGCTGATCGATTTGCATCCATCCAGGAGGGCTCAACTCACCCTGCAGTGGGGTACAACCTTGAACTCCTGCTCCCCCTGCCTCCTCCTCCTGCGCGCTGGGAAGACAGCCCGAGGCCCCCATATTCAGTTTTATGTGGGGCTGGAACCCAGGTCTTCCTGCATGCTGGCCAAGTGCTCTATCCGCCAGGCTCCGTCCCCAGTCCTGGCATTAGAGTCTTGGGTTTGTTTTCCCCAGGGACAGCTGACTTGCTCTGAGGCTGGGGAGCGGCCACAGGGATGGGTGGGCGAGGGGCGGGAGTGTACAGAGGCACAGTGGCATTGTGCAAGCCCCAAATCAGAAGGGAGGCGAGGGCGCAGCACTTGTTAGGCGGGTAATAGGATGACAATGCCTCAAAATACGGCCCTCGCTGATCTTAATTACCCGGCGATCTGCTCGGTGGCTAATCAGCGCCGCATACACTATGCTAATGGTCCCGGCTAATTTTGTTAGAATGTAACCCTTTATCAAGGCCGTGATGTGTAAATTAGGAAGCGAAATGTAACTAACACAAATTATATTTAAGCAACATGCGTTTCTCTATTCCAGCATGAATGTTTCTCCTCTAGGCTTCTGTCTTTCTTGGATGAACTTTCCCTGCCTCCCACCCCATCCCCCCATGATATGAGGGTGGAAGTCAGTACCGCTCTCCCCTCCCCCTCCCTTAGTCCTTAGAAACCATGGATTTCATCTTCTCTCTAAGCGGTTGTCTTTGGAAGGTTGACAGTACATAAGGAGGTCATGGCAGGTAGATCCCGGCTTCCTCTGACTGGGCGAAGCGTCCATGTTTTTTTTTTTTTTTTTAACTTTTAAACAATTGCTGGTGGAGACGAAAGCCCCATATTTGAGGGGAACCGACTTGTTTTTCTCTTTCCTCTTTGTATGTGTATGGTGTATGCATCATTTGTGAGTTTTTGCCTTGATGAGGTCGAGCACCGACTTTGAAGTGCCTGTGTACTGTGGCTATGCATGCACAGGAGGGTGTGTGTGTGTGTGTGTGTGTGTGTGTGTGTGTGTGTTCTCGCGCCTGTAGGCCAGAGATAAACATCAGGTACCTTAATTTTTAAACTGGTTCTACCTTATTTCCTGGGGCGGGGCCTTTCACTGATGCTAAATCCACGGCTCCACCTGGCCTGACTGAGGAGAAAGCCCTGTCCCCGTCAGTCATCTCCAGTGCCCCGTGCAGGGCATGTAACGGTTCTTCACCAAGTCCCGCTTTATACGGGCGCTGCAGACCTCCCATCCAAAAGCTTGCACGTCAGGCCCTGCACTGGCTGAGCCATCTCCTCAGGCCTTTGTCTGCATTTACGATTGACTCGAGACAGTTCTGGGATGTTGGAAGGACTGTGGCAAAGCTCTCCCTGTATGGTCCAGTCTGGTTGACACTTGCCGTCTTCCTGCCTCAGTCTCTCCAGTGATAGGGTTACAGGTGGGAGCCGTGGTGCTCAGCTCTAGGTGGGGCTTTTGGAGAGTGATTAGGATGGGAGTCTTTAGAGCGCAGGCCCCATGACTGAGTCTTGGTGGCTCTGTAAGAGGGAGAGAGAGACACAAGCACAATGCTCCCTGCCTCTTGCCACAAAATGGCCACGCCACCTTGGGACTCTGTGAGCAAGAAGGCCATCACTAGATAAGACCTTTGACCTTATACCTCTAGAACCTTGAGACACAAGGAAACGTTCTTTTTTGTAAAGTTGCCTGCTGCTGGTAGTTTATTATAGCAACAAAAAAGGATCTAGTTGATCCTTCTAGTGGCGAATCTCCTGGCTTCTTTAATTGAGAGGTGGAGGAGCCAGGGACTTTTCAATCTCCCTGAAAATCTCTCATTCTTTCTAGCTGCGACCCTGGCTCCTTTCCAAGGGCAACAGTTCCGACCCAGGCTCTAGGGTGACCATGTTCACTGCTCTGTGACAGGGCCGGCTTGCCCATCGACCTAGCGGGTGACAGGGCCGTTTCCACGGCAGCGCTTTGTGCGATGAGGGAGGGGGCACTTAGTTTTTTCTGGGTTTTGGTGGGCTGTGACACCACCCAGGCATGTGAGATGTTTCTGGTGAGTCTGCCAGGAGGTTTTATCTTGATGAGGTCAGTCATTTATTTTGGAGGTGCCCAGATGGAGATGAGGACGTGTTTGTTCTCCAGCACAAACATCTGGATTTCATCCACCTACTCCACTCCTCCAGCTCTCATTGGCAGGGTAGTCTGGGGTAGCCTTGACTAGTCATGGTGACCCTCCTGCCTCAGCCTCCTGAGTGTTGTAAGTCCAGGTGTGTATCACCATACTTCGCTGGTGAAACCCTTTGGAATCCTCACTTAGGCCAGCTGCTCTTGCTGTCCTGAGACCGTAAGGAACCTGATGGTGCTGGCATGTGACTGGCCTTTCCTAAAGCCGTGTGGTGCCATTGTGCTTTCTCTTCTCAGAGGTCAGGGGCAGGGACTTTTGTGTTCTCACTGGACTCATGAGGAACCAGGCAGGAAATCACTGACAGAAGTCACACTGCTTGACCTAATTAGGACATCACTGTGACGAAACACCATGTCCAAAATTGACTTGGAAGGGGAAGGGTTTATTTGGCTTTTGCTTTCACATCACTGTTCATCATTGAAGGAAGTCAAGACAGGAACTCAAACAGGGCAGGAGCCTGCAGGCAGGAGCTGATGCAGAGGTCTCGGAGTAGTGATGCTTATTAGCTTAGTCCTATGATTTGCTCAGCCTGCTATCTTACAGAACCCAGGAGCAGCAGCCTAGGGATGGCACCACCCACGGTGGGCTGTGCTCTCCCACACCAATCACTAATTAAGAAAATGTCCCACAGGCTTTTCCACAGCCAGATCTAATGGAGTCATTTTCTCAATGGAGGCCACTTTCTCTCAGGTGACTGTAGCTTGTGGTAAGTTGACGCAACACTGGCCAGCACACTACCGTCTTTCAGATGACCTGAGTTCATTTTCCAGCACCCACGAGATGGCTCACAAGAGCCTGAAACTCCAGCTTCAGGTGTTGGAACACGGTCAAAAGAATGGTGCATGTGGAGAATGCCTCTGGGAACTGTGTGAGAGGCTCCAGGAAAGAAAGGCAGAGGGCCTTTTCCCTCAGGCGTATTCTGCTTCCTGGGTTGTTCTTGGACATGACTTTGTGCCTCCTGTGACAAACATTTACTTTCCATGTATAAGATGTGTTTGTTGTTGTTGGATGTCAGAACGTAGTGATAGAACTCAGTCTGGTCAGTGTACCCTGTATCCAGGAATATATACAGTGTACCCTGTAAAATGCCTCGCTTTCAGGCTTTCCCTGAAATAGTCTGTAGTGTGTGCCAGATAATTGTGCTTCAATTGCTGAGAAAGTTCTGGGAAAGGGCTTGTCTGTTACAATTTAGTATCTGCTTACTGGCTTTTTTTTTTCTGATCATGTTTTTCTGAACACCAACAACCTTCCTCGGATCATTGCTTTCTTTGTTACATTTGTGTATAAAAGTACACGCCGACTGAAGTAAGGTTTTCCACAGTGCGAGGCTGTAGTCCATTCCATTCGTTCAGGTCCTCAGTTCGTAGCTCCAGCAGACAAAATCTGCCGAGGTCAACAGAAAAGCCCACCACACAGGGGATCTGACACCCTTTTCTGACTGCCATGGGCCCCTGCATTCACATGCACATAGCCCCTCTCACACACACACCCATGATTAAAAATAATAGAAACAAATCTTGACAACACCATTTGATAATCTTTAACATCCATTTCTTATTACAGCTTGCCAAGAGCTAGAATAAAAGTGTGAGAGAAAGTCTCTGTGAAAGTAATAGATGGCATCTTAACCAATGTGGGGATGTATTTTTCACTGCTGTCAAAGGGGGAAAAAAGCAGCTCACTGTCCCCATTTCCTGCCTGTCTTGGTTTGGAAACAATTGAAAGGAGGCACCAGACCTAGGGGTCAGGATGTCAGCCTCATTACTGATGAAGCCAACTGCAGAATGTGGCTTCCCATGTGAAGCCAGATGATCTTTCTAGCCATCCCCAAATTAGGCAATGTTCAGTCACTGCTGACTTCCCCCTCCCATACCTGACTAAGGCTGGCCCCTCCCAGGAAGCAGAAGGACCAAAGGATACCTCTCAGTAGCAGAACCAAAGGGAACCCAGAAGAGACAAAGCCACACAAGCAAACTCGTCCTCCTGAAAGCTCTAATGAAATCCTCACCAGG